CAACTACATTCTCTACGCATCTAATATCCTATTATAAAAAATTGTACAGTAAAACAGTTCACCAAATGCATAAAGTATAACCTTGAAGAGGTGTTAGATGATTCCTGACTTTCTTGTAGAACTTTCTGATTCACAACTAAAATGTTATCAACAGTATCAAGAAAAGTTGTTGTTAACTAAAAATACCAATGATCAAAAAGAGACATATATCCTTATCCTTACTGTTATATTTCCTTCAAGCTCACCGGTAGCAGAAACTAACACACTTACACTTGCAGCAACTTCAGTAGGTCCTAGTGCACTGCTGTCACTAGTTAATGTCTCAAGCTCTCTGACCCTTTCTCCAACTGGTAGCTATATATTGTAAATGAATAAAAACTTAATGTAAACATTGTCAAATCATTAGTGAAATTAATAATTGATTTTGTGCTTTATAATTAATTAATTTAATTTTATATTTAATTTTAATTTAATTTAGTTCTTTACATTTAATTTTTTTGTGCTATAGTCCATGGTTTTTTCTAAAAAATGGCTCCGAAATCACCCCCAATTTTTAATGCATTTTCCGATACATATTGATGCTCTTATGCTGTGTAGAAAGTTTGAGCTAATTTCAAGTTCACTTTTTCAAGTTATGGCCATTTTAAGAAAGCTTCAAAAATCTGAAAAATACCCAAGGCTATAGTCCATGGTTTTTTCCAAAAAATGGCTCTGAAATCACCCCAAGTTTTTATTACATTCTCCAATACACATTGATGCCCGTATGCCATGTAGAAAGTTCCAGTTGATTCCAACTTCAATTTTTCAAGTTACGGCCATTTTTAAAAAACATCAAAAATCTGAAAAATACCCAAGGCTATAGCCCATGGTTTTTTGAAAAAATGGCCAATAAATCACTCCAAATTTTTACTACATTTTCTGATACATATTGATGCCTTTATGCTTTGTAGAAAGTTTGAGGTGATTACGACTTCACTTTTTCAAGTTACGGCCATTTTTAAAAAACATCAAAAATCTGAAAAATACCCAAGGCTATAGCCCATGGTTTTTTGAAAAAATGGCCAAAAATCACTCCAAATTTTTACTACATTTTCTGATACATATTGATGCCCTTATGCTTTGTAGAAAGTTTGAGGTGATTCTGACTTCACTTTTTCAAGTTATGACCATTTTAAGAAAACATAAAAAATCTGAAAAATACCAAAGGGTATTGTAGTCCATGGTTTTTTCTAAAAAATGGCTCCAAAATCACCACAAATTTTTATTAAATTTTCCGATACATATTGATGCCCTTATGCTGTGTAAAAAGTTCCAGTTGATTCTGATTTCAATTTTTTAAGCTATGGCCATTTTAAGAAAACATCAAAAATCTGAAAAATACCCAAGGCTATATATAGTCCATGGTTTTTTCTAAAAAATGGCTCCAAAATCACCACAAATTTTTATTACATTTTCTGATACATATTGATGTCTTTATGCTGTGTAGAAAGTTTGAGCTAATTCAGACTTCACTTTTTCAAGTAACGGCCATTTTAAGAAAACATAAAAAATCTGAAAAATACCGAAGGATATTGTAGTCCATGGTTTTTTCTAAAAAATGGCTCCGAAATCACCACAAATTTTTATTACATTTTCCCATACATATTGATGCCCTTATGCCGTGTAAAAAGTTCCAGTTGATTCCGACTTCAATTTTTTAAGCTATGGCCATTTTAAGAAAATGTCAAAAATCTGAAAAATACCCAAGGCTATATATATAGTCCATGGTTTTTTCTAAAAAATGGCTCCAAAATCACCAAAATTTTTATTACATTTTCCGATACATATTGATGTCTTTATGCTGTGTAGAAAGTTTGAGCTAATTCAGACTTCACTTTTTCAAGTTACTGCCATTTTAAGAAAACGTCAAAAATCTGAAAAATACCCAATGACTTACATCTTTTAGACGGCATATAGTTCTAGCTAAGTCACTGAAATTGCATCTCATTACATCAGGTGCATCCCAAACTGCTCCATTAGTAAAATCACCTCCACAATAACGTGTAGCTTGTAGCTTACCACCACCTGATGTGCCATTAGTACCACATGGACAATCAACCACTGCTAGTACACCAATATTAGTTTCAGGCCAAACAATAGTGATGGTAAGGTTTGGGTTACCAGAATGAGAAGGAATGATGGTAAAATTTGAAGGAGCAGCCATCTATAGCACATAATAAAATAAATTTAAAGAAATTTGTAATGGCATTACTTTACCAAATCTCTCAACAGCAGTGACAGATATTTGAATAGATAATTTCTGACCAAGTG